TGACGTAAAATGACTAATAAAAACGATGCAAAAATCACTTATCAATATCTATAAGTCTTTTCTCTACATGTCCAAACCACCTAAGTTTATTTTCCACCATCTCCTTTACTATAGGTGCTACTCAAATGCTCTCTCTAATATTTTCATTTCTAATCATATCCTGTCTAATATTAATACACATACAATGCAACATCCTCTTCTATGCTTCAATTATTTTATTCTCATGTTGATTCTTAATTTCTCAACATTTTGTCTTGTACAACATCACAAGTCTTGCCGCAGTCTGATAAAAATTTCCCTTTAACTTAAGCAGTACCTTTAGTCATATAAAACCACTGAAGCTCTCTTATATTTCAGCCGCCCGACTTGAGTTTGATGGTTTACACCACCTTCTATTTCTCTATTATTTTATATTACAGATGCAAGATATTTAAACAATGTGACTTGAGAGATGCTATGGTCTCCAACTTTCACCTCTAGGTTAGAAATATTTTTTCTTTTGTTTAACTTACAATCCATATACTCTGTCTTATTTCTGTTTAGGCAAAAATCATGTGTATCTAAAGTTCGTCTCTAAGTCTCCAACCTCTCATTTAAATCCTCATTGGACTTTTCAAGTAGGATTATATCATCTGCAAAAAAACATGCATCTCGATGATAGCTCTTGGATGTGTTATGTGAGTACATCCAAAATTAAGATAAAAAGATAGGAGCTTAAGGTTGAAGCTTGATGCAAACCTATTTTAATAGGGAAATTGCGCGCCTCTCCACCCTGTATCCGAACACAAGTCAATATCCCTTCGTACATATCTTGGATAACGCGAATGTATGTGATCCTAACTGCTTTCTTCTCTAGGATTTTTTCATGAAATCTCTCTAGGCTCTCTATCATACGTCTTCTCCAAGTAAATAAAAATTAAGTGCAAGTCTTGTTGGTTCATTTGATACTGCTCGACCACACGTCGTAGTAGATAGATCGCTTTCATGGTCGATCTTCCAGACACAAAACCAAATTGATTCTTAGTGACTTCAATAACTTAATCCACATATAATTTGTACAATTTTGTATATCCCCCTTCTTCTTATATTTTGTAACTAAAATGCTTATTCTCCATTCATCCGGCATTTACTTTGATCTCATAATTTCATTAAAGAGTTTTCTAAGTCACTCAATACTTCTATCTCCAAGAACTTTTCATACTTCAATAAGTATGTTATCTGTCCTAACCGTTTTACTATTACTTATCCTTTTCAATATTTCCTTTATCTCTTGTTTATGAATCTGACAATAATAATTATAATTTCGATCTTATTCTCCTGAGTCTTATAGAGTCATATGAGATATCATATCCTTCATTAAATAAATTGTAGAAATATTTCTTCCACCTATTCTTTAAATCTTCTTCCTGAACCAAGACTTTGTCTTCTTTATATTTAACACACCTAACTTGATCCAAATCTCTTGTATTTTTGTCTTCCCTTAGTAAGTTTGGGTTCCTAAAGATTGATATACTTCATCAAAAGTTTGAGTTCTTGCTTCGTTCACCTTCTTTTTTTCTCATTCTTAACTTTCTTATACTTTTCTCAAGTTTAAACATTTTTACACCTAGACCATTCTTTAAGACAATTATTTCTTACTCTAACTTTACTCCAAACACTTTCATTCCACCACCACAACTCTTTACCCCTAGGTTCAAAACCTATTGGTTCTTCCAACATCTCTTTAGACACTTTTTATATGTCACCCATTTTTATATGTGATAAGATATTTATCTCTTTTCCTAAAGCAGGTATTTGCTATAGTAAGGTCCAAAGCCGACAAAACTTCAAGATGGATTTGCCTATACATTCACCTCCCTTAAACTATACCCCTTATGCACGGTCTGAGAACCTCTTGTTACGCTCACTACATATCCATTTAGATCTTCTCGTAGAAAAAACGTTCTCCTTTGGATATATCCTGAAGTAAACCTTTTAAATCATCCTAAAATTGTATCATAAATTCTGCTAATCAAACCTGAGGTGTGTAAGCACTAATAACAACAAAGGTGTCTTGTTCCACTACAAATTTCAAAACTATGATTTGATTCACTACTCTTTTCACATCCACAATATCTTTCTTACACTCCTTACTCGCAATAATCTTCACCCAATCTCTCAGTCTGACTATTTTCTGTGTACCAAAGCTTAAATTTCAAATTGTGTACCTTTTCACCAATCCACTTGCGTTTTTGTAGGCGCATAAAATAAAATAATTGAAATCAAAACTAAAATGTGATATATTGAAAAAGACTAACAACATATTTAAATTATGGAATTAGTATTTTTGCTCCATAATAACTTTTTTTACAAATTATTTCAAATAAATTATATGAAATAAGTATTTATTAAAATAATTTTAAAATAAATATTAACTAAATAACATTATAAAAAGAATTGATTATATACACATATAAAATAGAAAAAAATTACACCACTGTTAAGAGATATTAATCTCTTAAACTAATTAGTCCTTCCAATTCTTTTTACAAAAGACATCTTTTTTTATATATTAAAAATTTAATATATTTGGATTATATATAGGAAGTATATAATAATATGCATTTTGTTATATTGAACTATTTTGAAATTTACTACAATATTACTCAACAAATTTCAACACTAATTAAAGAATTTGTCTCCCCTTAATCCCCTACATTAATTAATCAAACCCCACCACAGAATTTATACAATCCATTGCCCCATATTGTCTTTTGTTAATATGTGACCAATTACATCACTACGTGTTGTGTTCCCTTGCCTTTTATTGTTGATAAATAAATACACAATTATTTCATACAAAATCTTATGTGTGGGGATAAAATTGTTGGATTTCATGTTTTAATGTATGAATTTTAAATTGCAAACTTGAATTTTGATTATACTCAGAGTGAATGTAATTTTATATGAGTTATTCATTCCATCTCACAATATGTGTTTTTTCTAAAGATAATAATTAATTGTGTTGATTTTAATATTAAAATAAGTGTTATTTATTAAAATAACATTATTAATAGTATGTAGTAGAATACTTACATGAATTAGAGTTAAAATTAAAATATAATAAATAAAGATAAATTAATACAAAAAATAAATAATAAATAGCATATTGATATTCTAAAAGTATAAATAATTTGAGATAGATAAAAAATAAGAAATTGTGAGAGGAGGGTGTAATAGATAGGAAGCTTTTTGAAATTGAAAGAATAGATTATAATTTTACTTTATCTTATTTTATTTTTTTTAATTTTATTTTTGTAATTTAGATCATTTAAAAACTTATGAAACTTGAATTTTCTTTTTAATTTAATGGAATTATTTATGTATTTTAATATAAATTTAGTAATTTTGATATATTTTTGCTTAATAGTTAAGTTGATATATTAGCAACTTCCGTCACAAAAACAATTTACCAATAATATAATGCATAAATACCATCTTATCTTAAAATTGTGTGTCCTATTCATCAATAATTTAAAATTATTTTTTCAATTTTAAAATTTGAATTTTTAAAATGATTAATATATGTTTTTAAATTAACATGACTAAATAGAAGTCATGGCATGTCATGCAAAAGGAGAATCCTAAAATCTAGCAACATTTAAATGAGACAACATAAATCTCATCTCAGTATTGCTTTGCCCAAAAATCATTGCAATTGCATGAATATCCAATTTATTAAAAAAAAAAAAAGGAGAATCATGTACCCAAATATTTAGTACTATAAACAAAATTTTCTAATTAAATATGTGATTTAGAACTTCAGATTCTCTATGTGATCTAAATAGATTTTATTTTATACAAACTACATTCATATTTACCATTATAATAACAAAGTATAACTAAATTTCTATTTTAAAAAAAATTGAAGTAGGATTGTTTTAGCTTTAAAAATATTACAAATTCTTTTAAATTTGTTTTTTCTAAATTTAAAGATTAATTTTGACATCTAACAACCTAAATATATATTATTAAAAATTTAAATATAGTCAAAATCGTAATTTAAAAATACATATATATATTTCAAAAATAATTTTTATGAACAATTATTTGAAATAATTTCAAAAACTAAGTGATTTTTTTAAAATTTATTATTAAAAAGTTTCAATAATATAGTAAATATTTAAAATAACTACTAAATCAAAAAAATCATTTAAAACTTTTATAAATTTTTTTATAAAAAATATATATATATAATACTATAAATATTAACTTTCAAAAAACGAAATCTATAATAAAAATTAATTACAAATATTTTCTACATTTTAAGTCTATTCAATTTGTATAAATTAGTCTCGTATGAATAAATGAAGAGAAAAAATATATATATGTACGGTCAACCAATCACCTTACTATCATATATTGTGTACAATCATTTTAATATTTTTAAGTTAATTGTGTGATATGATTAAATAATTAATTTTTATTATAAAATTATTTTATATTGTCAGTATACTATATTTAATCTCATAAATATATTTGATATAATTTTTTCAAACTATTTAATAATTAAAATTTACTTTAAAAAATAAATAGTAGAATGTCTGAATTCGGTCTCGTCTCTATATCAAATATATGTACATATCTATCAATTGAACTAGATGTATTTTTTTAAAAGAGCATGTCTTATTTTATAATTTGAAATAATTGAATTTATATATGTATCATATTGCATAAGATATGGAATAGAATAGGCAATAATTTAGTAATAGATATTGATGCCAGAAATCAATCTACAGCTGTCAATGACAAATGATAAATTCGGTCCACATAAAATTATTGAGAAATTAAAAAACCACATAAAACTATTAGCCACAAAAACATACATGCATGCCATGGATAAATAAGCATACATGAAATAAAACATGGCATACATGATGGTTGGTTGTATCGAAGACATAAACTCACTCACTGAATAAATAGTGGGTGCCAACAGATGAAATGATACAATACAAAAAAATATGGAAAGTGTGGAAAGAAGTGGAAGCAGTGAATGGGAAGAGAAGATGACAAAGAAGAAGGAGAAGGGAGTGTTGCTAGAAGGATTCGTAGACGCGGATCTTGCAAGAACAAAAAGCTTAACAGATGAAGATCTTGACGAGTTGAAAGGATGTTTAGATCTAGGATTCGGATTCAGTTACGATGAGATTCCTGAACTATGCAACACTCTGCCGGCACTAGAGTTATGCTATTCGATGTCGGATTCTTCTCCGTCGTTTGCGAATTGGAAGATCTCGAGTCCAGGTGATCATCCTGAAGATGTTAAAGCTAGGTTGAAGTACTGGGCACAAGCCGTTGCTTGTACCGTTAAACTCTGTAGCTAAAAATTGATTCATAAATGAATTATGTATGATTATCTGGAATAGGTACTAATGAATTTGAGAAAGAGGTGTTGTGTTGTTACTTTCAGGTTTCAAAAGAAACCATCCAACTCTATGCATCTCTCTAGAGAGGTTAAACTAGTTTCACAACTTAACATCAATTAATTTTCATGTTTATATTGTGTTGTTCATTATTGTATCATCCAGGTTATTAATTGATCTAATAAAGTATTATTATGATTAGTATAAGCTAAGATTTCACATTCCTTATTTATATACTACTGATTTTGATTTTGGATTTCATTTTTCATTAGATTATTATGAGAGCTGCTTGTATGGATGAACACTTGTATAGATGAATTTGTATTTGCTGAGGTAACTAATCTAACTGCACTGCACTTTTTTCATTCTTTTTTCAAAATTAGTGGCAAGAGTTGGTTATAATGCTAACTTGTGTCAATTATGCTAATATTATTCAAGAATCAATTATGCTAATATTATTCGAAAATCAACCGGGGAGCGTCAATTATGCTAATATTATTCGAGAATCAACGGGAAAGAAAGATGGAGTCAAGGAAATTTATATGAAGAAATTGTTTCCTCCTCCATCCGCCGGCAGTGTGATTTTTTTTTAAGTCAAATAAATTGTTACTATTTAATTACTTTGGATAACTTGAAATTTTATTGACTAAAATTTTGAAAGATTTTGTTTTAGATCTTTGTTTTGCACTCATGGATCTAAAATTTAGAGCAGAAATTATTGTAATTGTTGGTACTATAAACTAGTGCAAAAAGTTGGGGCAAATTAAGCTGTTTCCATTAAATGTGATTATGCAGATTGAAAAGGATGGATATTACAATTCAAATAACTCAATCTCAGCAATGCTTGGGAAACAAGAACCATCCCAATAGGAGCCATGCTTGGGAAACAAGAACCATCACAATAGGTTGCTTCTTTTCATTCATCAGCATTCCTATCCACTACACTTTTCTAAAGCACAATAATCATTCCGCCGACCAAATATTAACACGAGCAGAGGAAACTGAGAAACAGCAAGCACTGCACACTCCACATTACCGGAAACCAAAACCAAACTCAATATACGAGCCAATTATTTTGAACCAGGCTTGTTTTTATTCAAATGTTTCGATTTATTATTTTCTGAAATTAAAACAAGTTTATTCGGTGTCGTCTTCTGTCATTCACACTGATCCAATAGAAACAGGTTTATAACAGGGATTATTATTTATGTATGTATCCTTTTTCACCCCTCCGCCATATCATCTTCCTTCTCCACCTTAGTTTTACTTTTCTCAACATCCTCCTCCTTCTTAACCGAAGATTCGCAGTCCTCTGCATCATCCACCTTCTCAACAACAATTTCACGTCCCTTTCCCCTCATTGCTCTTCTTTTTGCCTGAATTTGACGAACAAATTCAGGCACCAATTCATGAAAATTAGGACCCACTTTGTCAGTGGGGGAGATATTCAGCCCCGCCTTGTTCAATGCCATAGCCAGATGCATCTCCGCCATTCTCATGTGAACAGTGCAGTACGACGGAGTCGTGGAACTCAATATAGGTTTCTGACATTCTACAGGTCCATCCGCTGACCTGCAAACAAAAAAAAAGATCTATTAGCCCAGGAAGAATCAAATCAAAAGGGTTAAATTGAATATAGATTAAGAATTGTTAGATCAAGATGAAAATAAAAAGAGTAAGTGAGAAAGAGATAGATATATACGTTGCGATAACGAAAGTACAAGGCTTATAAAGCACTTGTTTGGGATCAGAGAGAATATGCGGAAAGCAAAATTGAGTACAAGGCATAGGCTTGGAAAAACAGCCATCAAAAGCACAAATGTTAGTGTAATTGTCAACTACGACATCAGGTTCATCCTCGAAAGGGCTACGACCAGTCTCAGCAACATATTGTCTATGTTTGATCCTGACTTGTCCGATGAGAGCCCAATACATACGTCTGTAGTGTTTGATAAGGCGTTTGGTGTTGCGAAGACGACGGCAGAGAAGCTCGCGACGGGTGAGGTGAGAGGCAGTGGAGAGCGGGTCAGAGGTTCGGTGGATGGTTGGATTGGGAGCATTGGGAGGAGACATTGTGGCTTGTGATAGGAGAGTGAGTGAGAGAAATGTTATTGACCGCGCAGCCGCAGGAGCAGCAGCAGTCAGACACAAGAGAATAGAGAGGGCAGGAAGGGCAGGAAAAAGTGGGAATGAAATGGATATTAGGAACAATCCTTAATCCTTTATATATATACTTCCTCTTATTATAATCCCGTGTCTCTTTCTTGCTTGTCCCCACTTTTTTTTATCGTTTCAATCTTTTTTCAACTTAGAGAAATGGGTTTAGTCTCATGGGCCGGGTCACTAACCCTTATCCTAACAAAGTGGCAGTTAACAATCTAACTAGGGTTTCTAGAAATGTATTTTATTTTGACACTAAATACACTATTAAAATTACATTTTTAATATTATAGTTTGACTATTTTAAACATGTAATATTTATGTTGAAATTGTGCATTTAATATTTTTTAAGTTATAAATTTGTTATTTCCAATACAATGGTTTTACTCTTCTTTTTTTATAAAAGTCAATTGAGTCAATAAAAATGGATGTATTTGATTCATGTATTAAACCAAATACATTAGCTTTTGTTCCCCAAATGTATCTTATAAGAATGATAAGAAAGAGTATTGAAAGGATAAAGTTGAGTTTAATTGATGCTAAGTGTTCGTGTAAAAAAAATACATTTACTTTTAATCATATCACAAACAAAGATAATTTTAATAAATTATAATGTATTAAATTGACATACAAAAGTGAAATGTGAATAAATAGAGATTGGTACCATGGTTGAGGCTAATGATAGCTATGTTGAAATTTATATTCCTGAATAATTTTAAATTTTAAATTTTTCATACCCTATTAAGGCTATTGTTGATAGTATCTATTGCGATCTCATTCTTAACTATCATGATTCCAACTTTTTACAAAGTCGTGCAATCTTGGCTTCAACAATTGAAGTTGTCGATGAGATTAATCAATATATCACATATCTTCTTCCAGGTACTATACATGTTGTGAAGTTGTTTTCATACTAATTTTATATTTTACTTCATATTTATATTGTTTTATCATTTGTGTGTTTTTCTTTATTTTAGGATAAGAAAAGGAATACTTTATTAGTGATTCTATTGATAGATCAACAACAACCAACTTTGATGCATTTGAGCACTTGACTACTGAATTTTCGAATGCTCTTAAAACGTCTGGATTGCCTAATCATTCAATCAAGTTGAAGATTGGTGCCACTATTATATTGATGAGAAACTTAGATCAATATGAAGGTTTATGTAATGGTACAAGGCTCACTGTTACAAGGTTGGCTAATCATGTTATTGAAGTTAAGATCATTTCAGGAAAGAATGTAGGTAACATCATTTATATTGCAAGAATATCTTTGTCCCCCTCTCAATCACCATTGCCATTTAAGTTATTCAGAAGACAATTTCCCATTATTGTTTCTTTCGCTATGAAAATTAACAAATCACAAGGCCAATCGTTAGACGTTGTTGGTTTATACCTACCAAAGGATGTATTTAGGCACGGTCAATTGTATGTGGCAATGTCTCGAGTTAAGACAAAACAAGGTCTTAAAATTTTGATTCATGATAAAGATAAGAATGTCACAACTACAACCACTAACGTTGTATTCAAAGAAGTTTTTCACAATATTTAGTAGGTATAACATTCATATTCTTCTCTATCATTAAGCTTTCCTTAACAATAATTGATCAAATTGTTATCTAATTCTTTTTTTTTAATTTACAACTGCATATTTTGATACCAACAGCATATTTTGATACCAACTTCAACGGACAAATTATTTTTCCATATCTGTTGGATGACATTTTGTTGTTGCACTTCTCTTTTACTTTTTATTATTACTTTAGTCATTTGTTGTCAACATTACCACAACATTAAGTTAAATGAGTTGTTTCATATGCAATTCTTATGTTGCAACAATTCTATTGAATTCTTTCTTATTGCATTCTCTTTCATTTCAGCATTATACAGGTATATTTATCAATATTATATATATATATATATATATATATATATATATATATATATATATATATATATATATATATATATATATATTATATATATATATATATATATATATATATATATATATATATATATATATATATATATATATATATATATATATATATATATATATATATATATATATATATATATATATATATATATATATATATAGCAGAGACTTTTAAGTTGATTCCCTCGGGAAAGACTTTTAAGTGGAGTCCCTCAAGCAAGACTTTTAAGTTGAGTCTCCCAGACGAGACTTTTAACTTGAGTCTCTCATGTGAGACTTTTAAGCTGAGTCCCTCGTTTCGTTGCTTATTTAAAGGTCCAATACATGGTATATTTTATGATTCAACAAGAATATTAATTGTAAGTAAGGTAAATCTTGGGAATTCTCGGTGTTGGCCCAGTATCTCTGTTGCCCCTTAGGCAGCAAAAATCTTTTAGTGCAAGTCCAACATTAATATTGTCTCTGAGGGTGGTAAGGATCTTTAATTTGAAGTCCAGCATTATTATTGCATATGAGGGCGACAATGATCTTCTAGTGAAAGTCCAATATTAATATTGTCTCTAAGGATGACAATGATCTTCCAGTAGAAGTGCAACATTAATATTGCCTCTATGGGTGGAAAGGATCTTTCCATGGAAGTCAAACATTAATATTATCTCTAAGGGTGACAAGGATCTTCTAGTGGAAGTTCAACATTAATATTGTCTTTGAGGGCAACAAGGATCTTCTTTATGTAAACTCGATATTAAAATATTTTTTAAAAAATGTTCGTACACTGGTGAGCTAAATGTCTTTCGCCTTATTCAAAACAGAAAATATAAAATAGTTAATTGTAATAGAAGCTCAGATTAACTGAGTTCCATTATTTTAGGATGTATTACATTCAACTCTTCGAGTTTGTAAGCTCCACGAGGTAACTTATGACATATGCGGCATATGCCCTCCCAGTTAGGTTGGCACGACAACATGCCTGAGTATGAGGTCGCCCTCCTACATTTCTCTTGGGACCACCTTTGAGTTGTAACTTCTGGTCTTCCTCTATTTGACAGTGAATTCTCTTATATGGACGATATCACGTTTTTCGTCAATCAGGTCAGCGTCACATCTAAGTCTTTCCTCCTTTTCTTCCTAACTGATTTAAGAATGCCTTCATGTGAGCATGTCAATTTCAATACGAAGTTTGGCATCAACGACATACACCATCCCATATAGAGTCTCTTTGGAGGTTGAATGGAGAAGGGGTGGTGTAATATGATCCAATACTTCGTGGAGCTATTCATCCATGAGCCTTTTGGCTTCGACTAGATTGTTCTTTATCACCCCTAGTATCACTTTGTTTGTCGACTCAGCCTGCTTGTTCTCATGTGGATAGACAACTGAAATAAACTTTGTACGTACTTCTAGGTCACAAATGAAGTTTGCCACATAAGAGATGGCGAATTGAGAACCATTGTTTCAAATGATAACTCCTATAAAACCAATCATATAAATGATCTGGTGTCATTAAAAGTAGAAACCTCCTATTTCTATTGTGATCTTGGAGGCAACTTCAGCTTTTATCCATTTGTGAAATAATATACTCCTATATTAGGAACTTCACTTGGCCTGGAGCCAGCAAAAAATGGCCTAAGATGTCCACTCATCATTGGTAGAATGGCCACGCTGATGTGATAAAGTGAGTGATCTAGCCCTATCCTTTATCTGTATGATGTAAATTGGCATGCTTCTAGCATTTGTCACATTTTCTAACAAATATTTCCCCATCTTTCACTAAAGTATACCAATAATAGCCCGCCCTGAGCAATTTATGAGTTTGTGCTCGCCCGCCAATGTAAGTACCACATGCCCCTTGGTTAACCTCTATTAGGACCAAGGCGATTTTGTGTTCCCATAAACATCTTAGCATGAGGGAAGACATTCCCTATATAAAGGCATTATATGATATATATATATATATATATATATATATATATATATATATATATATATATATATATATATATATATATATATATATATATATATATATATATATATATATATATATATATATATATATATATATATATATATATCAACAACAACTTCACTCAATAATATTTCTCTTTTGCAATTCAATTTCTATCTCTTCTCTCTCTCTCTTCTTATTTTTCTTTCATTTTTTTCGAAAACACTTTTGTTCTAACAAATTAGTATCAGAGCATGGTTCAAGTGAAAGGACTGACTCAATTGTATCGAAAGTATTCTCACATGGTCGTGGGTAAAATGTTTGTTAAAAAGTGTCAACGACGGTACAAGTGCATGTGATAAAAAAAAATTCTGCTTGAGGGGAAGCATTGTGGATAGACTCAAACTTGAGGGAGAGTGTTGGGAAAAATAAGTGTGAGTAGTGTAGAGAAGTCCCACATTAGTTAGAAATTTGAAGACTTGAGCATTTATAAGTGGGAGAACCCACACACCTATCACCTTAAGGTTTAGGTGAGTGTGTTACGTGTCTTTCATAGAAGTGTGTTTCTCTTAAAGAAAATCCCCAAAGTGTAAAATACTCCCTCATGTTGACTCCCAAATTGTAGTCCTAACAATGGTATCATGAGTCTTTGATTCAAGTGAAGAGATTGATTCACTTTAACAAAATTATTCCCACATAGTTGTGGGTAGAGTTTCTCGTTGAAGGGTATCAACGACGGTACCGAATTGTAGCCCCAACAAAATATATGATGGATCATGATAACTTGTATGTATTACTCTCTCTCTCTCTCTCTCTCTCTCTCTCTCTCTCTCTCTCTCTCTCTCTCTCTCTCTCTCTCTCTCTCTCTCTCTCTCTCTCTCTCTCTCTCTCTCTCTCTCTCTCTCTCTCTCTCTCTCTCTCTCTCTCTCTCTCTCTCTCTCTCTCTCTCTCTCTCTCTCTCTCTCTCTCTCTCTCTCTAAGTTAATGTATATGATCAATTTTTGTTAACTCAATTGTTTT